GACGAGGGAGGGATGGACTGATCATCCACCTGTACCTGCTTGAAGTTTAATTTTGCTGAGTTGAGTTCCGCAGACTTGCGCGCTACGTCGTCACCCTGTCGTTTCGTTTTCGACTTGCGAGTTTGGCCCTCTTTCCTCTTGAAGACCTCCAGGATCCAGTGGTTCGTTCGTGTACCCTTAGGAAATGGTACCCTAGGCCGGCGTGTGGCACCGCTGTCCGTCAGTACGCATATCCATAAGTGTGTTTGGCCCAGTGCCAGTCCGGGATGAGCCCGTAGAGTGCCTCCCATGGACCCGTCGAACGGGTGTCTGTCGTTATCTCCCCTGCCTGGAGATGTACGTGTCCGGAGCGGACAGCAGATGGCTTATGCCGCAAGAACTTCGATGTTTGTCTCATCTTTGGAATTCCAAGTTGGCTCATGCCTTTACATGACCGCAGCAGTCAAAGCAGCCAGCCATTTCGGCAGGGCACAAGGTGACCATAGCTGTCAAAGCAAGTTTAAGGTTCATGCACATACAGCGTGTACATTCAAACGAGGCAGGTTTTCCTAGGTCGTTGTAATGAGGTTTGGCTTCATCGGCTTCGGTCCCCTCCATTTGGTTCCCCTTTTCATCCTTTCCCCTTTTCATCCTTTCCCCTTTACATACTTCTTTTCTCTTCTTTTCTTTCATGTCTTCCCTTGCTTCATGTCCTGTCACCTCATCTCTTTCCTTCTTTTGCGTGCACACTGCCTGGGCCCTAGTTTGTACATGCACAACCTACTTTCAAATCAGGCTTCAGGTCGCCAGGTTTTTATAATGAGGTGGGTTGTCATCGGTTGTTCCTGCGCACTTGGTTCCTTTTCATTGCAACCACACACACTTTTGCCCGGACCTTAGTGCTTCTCGCCTCCCCTCGGGGAGGCGGGGAGGCGTGTGTGTGTGCCCCTTGTAGTCACAGGGATTCAGTTGAATTGTTTCCATTTACTTCAGCAGGGGCGTGCGGCTCATCATACCCACCGTACGCAACGAAGCTATGGTATGACGAGGGAGGGGTGGACTGATCATCCACCTGTACCTGCTTGAAGTTTAATTTTGCTGAGTTGAGTTCCGCAGACTTGCGCGCTACGTCGTCACCCTGTCGTTTCGTTTTCGACTTGCGAGTTTGGCTCTTTCCTCTTGAAGACCTCCAGGATCCAGTGGTTCGTACGTGTACCCTTAGGAAATGGTACCCTAGGCCGGCGTGTGGCACCGCTGTCCGTCAGTACGCATATCCATAAGTGTGTGTGGCTGAGAGTTTGGGTGGCCACATGCACAGTGGCCTGCATTGGCTACTGGCAGGATCTGGCAGGTTGCAAGTGATTGCATGTTATACCGCTGGGCTGAACAAAGAAAAGCGACGACTGTTGACCCACAGCCATGTCTCACCCCTAGGCTTCCTTAAAAGAAAGAGACCAAGTTGCATCGTGTGACCAGAGACATTGTCGCATGAAGGTGGATGGAGCAGACTTCAATGATCGCGTTGGGCAGCTGGTGTCACTCGTCGCAAACGACTGGTCAAACGTTGTTCCCTTGCCAAATGAAATGCAAGGAGAAGGAAAGAAGAGAAGGAAGGACAAGACATGAGTGAAGCTACACGAAACATCATGACAGCTTATCTTCGTCCTGGAATCTGTGTGAACTCCAGTGCTCACTTTCTAACAGCTCCTCATATGACTCTTACCGTCCGGATCCATTCAATGTTGCAACTATAACTAGTTGCAACTCGCACCCCACACCCATACCAAGACAAACATCGCCGCAAGGTCCTTTTCAGAGAAGGAGGAGACCTTCAGCGTGTCTTTGATCAATGGCTCCACACGCCAGGCCGAAGGGCCTAGGGACCCGAGCAAAACCGAAATCCGGGACGAGTGGAGAGACGGGAATCGGATGCCAAGTGACTCGGTCGAATTGGATTGATTGGAGGTTTGCCCTCGACTTCAATCAATTACCGCAAGGTGTGGAAAACGAATCTCCGCAGCCCCTAAAAAGATGCAGGCCTTTTTAAGGGCTGAGTGGCTCGGAATCAGAAGGCCGTTTGGGGGGTAGTTGGGGGGGTTGAAGTCGCAAGAGAAGCCGCATGCGACCGCGGTTGGTTGTGTCGACGTGAGTGACGTGTGGGTTCCTGAACCCACCCGTGTACAGTGACCCGGTGGCTTTGGTCTTGTACCACGAGAATCCCAATCCCAAGACGCCAGAAGTTGCCATGAGGGAATTGCTTCTGAAGCAGTTTAAAGTTATGAAACAGTTGAAACAGTTCAAGGAGTTGTTTAAAGTAGCTACATGTCAGGAATTGGTGAATCCACTTTGCCAGGTGAAGCCCACAGAGTTGCGCAGTGCTAGCCAGAGCTTTGACATTTTAGTGGGACCCAGGCAGGGAGCGAGTCAGTGTGGCTCAGGGACGATTGGGTGCTTCATGGTTCATTTGGGATGAAGATCATGAAGCTCAGGAGCTCCAAAACGCATCGCGTTTCCGTGGTTCAGAGCATCCGATCCGGATCCTCCCTTGAGTATACTGAAGCTTTCTCACGTGAGAATCTATTCATAGCTCAATCCAGGTACTCGTTTTGCATGTCATACCGGAACACCAACAGCACACCAGAGAACACCAGAGAACACCTTAAGTGGGAGAACACCAGATCCCCTTCGTCCTTCCAGTCGACCGGTCGAGGCATTGCCAAGACTTCCTGGCCGAGGAGGCGGGTGAAACCAACCGCGGAGTGACGTACCTCTCGAGGGCGGTCGGGGTGAATTCGCCGTGGTTTCCCGCGAGGAGAACGCGAGGGAAGTCGCAGACCCAAACAGGAGCAAATAGTAGGACTGGCCATATGAATCCATACAGACAGGGGTGGTTGACCTGGGGTTAATGTAGGCATATATATATATATACCAGTTTGGGATATGATCCGAAGTGGGTTGGGAGTTGTGGAGCATACAAAAACTGTCCGTAAAGTCCCAAGTCTCGTGGGACCAGTATGTAATGTAAATGTAATTATAATGAATGGATATGCATTGATGATACTTTGTCACTTTGTTTTATTGCGCTGCTCGTCGTCTCACAAGCTTGATATAAGGGATGTCCTCTCAAAGACTCTTCTCGGTGCACGTTTGGTCGTTCGGTGCACGTTCCCCGTTGAAATCGTCGATCGATCGCAGGTGGCCAACTGTCTCATGGAGAAGGGTTTCTGCGTGATGAAGCTCTGCCAATCCCAGCCTGAAGTCGAACGGGCTGTGAGCTCCGTGAAGAAGTTGGCGGAGTCAGGTAGTACCTTGGAGAGGCACCCCGAAACGAGAGCTAACGGCGGGAAGAAAAGAAGGGCGGGAACTGTGAGGAACCTGGCGCGCGGGCGTGCTAGGCGGCGCACTGGTTCAGTCGCATCGCGCACCATCGGTTCACATTTTGCGCACTGTTTCAGTGTGAGAAACCGTGGCGGGAGCCTTAAAAAATAGTGCGCACCCTGGTCTAGGAAAAGAAGACGATCGGTTTTTGAGGCCGAGATGTACTGGAGAAACCATCTAAGATGTGCCAAAGGTGTAATCCGGATCTTGGATCTTCACTGCACTTGGAGGATCAGACGATACATTGAGTCCTCAGATCTTTGTCACACCAGGACCACAGCTACTGACTTGTTCATCTACTCAAAAAAGGTGAGCGAGCTTGTCATTTGTTAGCACAGCAAGAGTAAACATCGAACCGTCTCTTACATGGTAGGAAATTTGAACAGGCCTGGGTCGGATGCCACATGCACAGGAGACATGCCATGCCCGGGCCCTTCGTTTTACTAACATCATGGAGACAAGCAGTTTGGGCTGGTTTTTTGTACGACAAGCTGTTTCGCCTGGTTGAAGTCTGAAGATGGATCAGTTCATTTCGGCTGCGCCCGGACGCTTGACGCTGCGCGGTAAGAAGGGCGCATCTTCACTCCGAAGTACAAGAAAATCACCTTCGCTTGATCCGACCCATTCCTGACTCGCTCGGTCTGAGGATTAGAGCGCTTGCCCGAAGAAGTTGAAGAAGGCGGGGGCCGAGACTCTCAGTATATAGAGACCACCTCGTCGCTCGCCCTTGGCTCAATCGGAGGTAGAAGGAGCTGCAATTGCACATGTGTATCATGCATGGTTGAAATGTTCCTTAATCAAACGGGCTATCCTAGGTC